GCATTTGTTTTTTAGGGAATGGCTAACTTCACTTAGAATAATCTGCTCTAATGCCATCCATTTCCCTGCAAATGCCATGATCTTGTTATTTTTTAGTTCTGAGTAATATTCCACTGTGTATAAATGCCACATTTTCTATCTATTCATCTATTGAAGGGCATCTATGTTGGTTCCACAGTCTAGCTATTGTGAATTGTGCTGCTATGAACATTGATGTAGCTGTATCCATGTAGTATGCTCTTTTTAGGTCTTTTAGGTATAGTCTGAGAAGGGGAATAGCTGGGTCAAATGGTGGTTCCATTCCCAGCTTTCCAAGGAATCTCCATACTGCTTCCCAAATTGGTGGCTGCATCAATTTGTAGTCCCATCAGCAATGTATGAGTGTACCTTTTCCCCCACATCCTTTCCAACACTTATTATTGTTTTTATGCATAATAGCTGCCATTCTGACTGGAGTAAGATGATATCTTAGAGTAGTTTTGATTTGCATTTCTCTAATTGCTAGAGATGATGAACATTTTTTCATATATTTGTTGACTGATTGTTTATTCTCTTCTGAGAAGTGTCTGTTCAGGTTCTTATTGGGTTATTTGTTGTTTAGGTGAGGATATATGCAATGAAGAGTAGACATTGTTTGCCGATTGCTTTAAATAGCCACACTGGCCAGAGCAATTAGACAGACAAAAGAAATTAAAGGCATAAATATAGGAAAAGAAGAATTTAAATTAGCACTATTTGCAGATGACATGATCCTATACCTAGAAGACCCAAAAGGTTCTACCAAGAAACTTCTAGATCTAGTAAATGAATTCATCAAAGTGGCAGGATATAAAATCAACACGCATAAATCAAAGGCATTCCTGTATATCAGTGACAAATCCTCTGAAATGGAAATGAGGACAACCACTCCATTCACAATATCCTCAAATAAATAAATAAAATACTTGGGAATCAACCTACCAAAGAGGGGAAAGATCCATACAACAAAAACTACAGAACCCTAAAGAGAGAAATAGAAGAAGACCTTAGAAGATGGAAAGATATACCTTGCTCATGGATAGGCAGAATTAATATCATTAAAATGGCCATATTACCAAAAGTACTCTATAGGTTTAATGCAACACCAATCAAAATCCCAATGGCATTCCTCACAGAAATAGAAAAAGCAATCGTGAAATTCATCTGGAAAAATAAAAGACCCAGAATAGCTAAAGCAATTCTAAGCAGAAAGAGTGAAACAGGTGGTATAGCAATACCAGATTT